GACTGACCAAAGAGGTCACAGGGCATTCCCAGCAGACCTTATTGTCTTTTGAATAACAGTTTAAGTCCCAGGTCGTCGCTGGCAGTCTTTTCCGTAGGCTGGACGGTCCACCGTTCAGGAGCGGGCACTGCTTTTAGACGAGAGTGATGGATCCAGTTTTTGTGTCCCTCAACCTTTGCTGCTGTGTGCGAGACCAGCAGGACGGTGTGGGGTCCCTTCCACTTCTCTTGGAGAGGCTCGTCCTTCCAGATACGAATGAGAACGGAGTCACCTGGTTGCAGGGAGTGGACAGGGGCATCCAGGGGGAGAGGCTGCAAATCTTTGGTATACCTGTGGAGAGAACAAAGAACAGCAGACAGAGAGCACATGTACTGAGATAAGAAGCCATAGCCTACCTCCCACTCCCCTGCCAGAACCGGTGTACCGTTCATAGGCCATGCCCTTCCAAACATAATCTTGAAGGGACTGAGCCCTAACCTGCCCTTTGGGAGAGCGCGAACTCGGAGCAAAATTAGGGGTAAGGCATCAGGCCACCGTAGGGAAGCCTCCTGGCAGACCTTTGAGAGATATCGCTTGAGTGTCTGATTTGTATGCTCCACTACCCCACTGGGCTTGGGGTCCGTGGCTCCCTGACGGGGGTGGATTGTCCGGGAATCGCCCCCGGGGAAGGGCCAGGGGTCCGTGGATCCCCGACAGGGGTGGATTGTCTGGGAATTGCCTCAGGGTGAAGGGCCGGGGGTCTGTGGCTCCCCGATTGGGGTGGATTGTCCGGGAATCACCCTGGGGGGAAGGGCCAGGGTCTGTGGCTACCCAGTGAGGGTTGAAGCTGGTTGGGAATTGCCCCGGGGGGTAGGGCTGGGGTCCGTGGCTCCCCGCCGGGGGTGGATTGTCTGGGAATTGCCTCGGGGTGAAGGGCCGGGGGTCTGTGGCTCCCCGATTGGGGTGGATTGTCCGGGAATCACCCTGGGGGGAAGGGCCAGGGGCTGTGGCTACCCCGCGAGGGGTGAGCTGGTTGGGAATTGCCCCGGGGGGAAGGGCCGGGGGGCTCTGTGGCTCCCCCACTGAGACAGGAGGGGTTGACCCAGCCAGAAATCCACCCCAGAGGGAAACCGCGGGCCCCTCACGGTGGGTGATTATCTCAGGAGGGAGGCTGGTGTGGCCGCGCATTGCAGCCAGGCAGCGTGTGCTCAGTTTCAATATCAGCTTGCCCTTTGCTCCTCCCTGTGTGGCAGTTGACATTCCT